CATTTTCTTAGGAACTGAAATTCTATTGGTCTCAAGATAACCAATCAGATTTCGAAGCAAATGAGACCAGATTCGTTTTATCGTCCTCGAAAACTTATAACTCTATGTTTTCTGTCTGATCAAAAAGTGCTACTGAATATTTCTTTTGTACCATCAAATATTGCAATATAATTGGTCAGCCACATAGGCACGCTTTTACGGACAGAAGACGAATTCTTTTTGAAAAAAAAGTAGCTGTTAACCTTCTCCTGGATGAGAGAAGAATTTCTGCAAATTTCGGTTGCACTTGCCCATACGGTGTAGAGATGCATAAAGAACAGACAGACAATCATTCTTCTTTATATATATATATCAGATGCACATAACTATAAAGATATTTTTGTATTTCGAAATTGTATATAGAATATTTCAACGCTATTCCATATATAAAGTTTATTCATAATTTAGTAAGAAATGATAGTATATAACAAAGGATGAGTTATAAAAATATCATTTGTGGGAACATAAAGAGGCTTGATGCATTTTGAGCAAACATATACAGTCTGTCATTTGATGAAGATTCAAAGAAACAAAAGAGTCTTGACTCTTTTGAATTCATTATTAGATGCTAATATTTCATTAGAAATACCTCGTTATATAAAGTTCTTAGTGAATATTATTGTAAGCATTTTAGAAAAGTAAGAGCAATACAGTGAGTTTATTTAAAAATAACACCCACATCCACACGGCATACATATACAAATATGTATTCCTATAATAATGTTTGTACTACCGATAAACTTAAGTATAGTCCAAAAGATCTTGTGTTTAAGCAGATTATTATTCTTCTGTTACGTGATATAGTCTCAAACCGATAAATTGAATTATGGGAGTGTTCTATGTTTACACTTTCTACCGACTCTTTCTTCAATTATAAAGTAAGTCTTGAAAGAGGAAGTACTCGACTGTAAAGTTATATCGAGAGGTCGATCTCGATGAGTTCCGGTGTTGGATCAGAATAAGTTGATGTACGTTGCAAATACCCTATAGACAAAGGATATTGGTTGTATATGATTATGAGTAGATGTGTTCTCGAATTATTCAAAGTAGTTTTCATATTTTCTTTCGTATCAACGCGAGCAGCTCATAGTTCACGTCTCGAACTCATATTGAAACTAAAATAAAATGACAGCAAGACCAAGACCAAAAATGAAACCAAGAGTCTCGATACAATCCTCTTCCAATAAATTACTAATATACATTACCGATAAATTGGTATTTGAGTATTATATATATATATGATTTTGACATACAAAGATATTTTATTAATTTCGTATATTTCAATCATATTGCATACGACAAAATATAAAGAATATGTAGCCGGAGAAAAAAACGACCATTTGCAGTGGTAGTATAGTTAAACCCATGTAATCACGAAACGCAAGATCGATGCGTTGAAACGCGGTTTCACGACAAAACGCGTCTAGACGCAGTTAAAAACGGTTTCACAACGCATTCAAATGCATTTTTAATACGAAACGCGTTGAGACGCAGTTAGAAAACTTTTGAAACGCGTCTGAACGCAGTTTTTGTATGCAACGTGTTGAAACGCAATTGTAAAAAACCTATGAACCGCGTCTCAACGCGTTTCATATTGAAATTGCGTTTGTACGTGTTTAATAAGAGTTTGACTTAACGCGTTCAAACGTGGTGTAATATGAGAAGCGTTGAGACGCAGTTAGAAAAAATTTTGAAACGCGTCTGGACGCAGGTTTTCTATACAAGGCGTTTAAATGCAATCAGAAAAAAATGAACCGCGTTTCGACACGTTTCTGAAAAAAATTTAATGCGTTTAAAAAAATTTTGTTTACGAACTGCGTTCAAACGTGTCTTAAATGTGTTTTTCGCTCGCGTTAGGACGCAATCATATTTTCGAGTGCCTTTGAAAGTGTTTAGTTTTTGTGTATCGGACGCGATTTTACCCAAAAATTGCTGCTCTAGAAGAGTTATATGCATAATCAAAATCATCAGCTTACATGTATTTTATTCATCTAAACTTCATTAGACTTCTAATAAAGAATGTCGAGATGACGTTAAAATAGACAAAATTCAATTAAACATACGGTGAACAGTCCATATTTCTCTAAAGTTTGTAAGAAAAATAGTTAGATAATATTGTAATAGTTTCCAGCTATGCAATGCCCTTTCAGAATATTGTTAAATACTACTATTTAAATAATATTATTAGTAACTTTTCATCATATATTTCTACTAAATTGGTTGTCAATAATTATCTATTCATTAAATTTTTCGATAAAATTATTTATCGTATTACCAGTGCAATAAAAAAGATCGTAATATTTTTTATGTGTAGTAGATGATAAAAAATAGATGTTATTTTATTAAAAAAATAAAAAACTTATTTAAAAAAATAACTGAAAAGTCATCTTACGTGTTAAGACTCTTGAATTCGAAAAAAATACATCTTGTTAAAATAAAGTATTTAACCGATGAAATTCGTCTTCAAATATATTTTATTTTGAATAAGACAAGATTTCGAGTTAGTATAACTCAGCGGTATGTATGAACGACTTCTAATCACTGGTTCATCTGTTCAAATCTGATCGTCGTCGCTTAAGGTAAAATCTAATCCATTTGCCAGGGAAGGCTAAGACCATCAAAAAATATTGATGGTTGCGACTCAGTTCGAATCTAAAATGGATTATCATATATTTTTTTCAAAATTTTTAGTTTTTTTATGAAACGCGTCCAGACGCATTAAATGTTTCATCTGGGACGCGTTTTCGCTAAAAATGCGTTTGAACGTAAGTCAAGCTAGAAGCGCATTCACACGCGTTTCTAAAATAAATCGCGTTTAAACGCTTCGTTTGTTTCACTGGGGACGCGTTCAAACGCGTTCACTCTTAGTGTTTCGCACGCAAATGAAACGCGTTTCAGACGCGTTTTGAGGCAAAAAATATTTACATGGGAAGAACAAATTACTACGTAAGGTTTCTTTGTATCATATGAGCAGTAAGATAATGTAGACTTTTAACTTAAAGTATGAGACTATTGATAGTTTATGTCTTTTCAGCAGTGGCAAAATACTTTTCAGTTAAGCTGCGTCTTCTTATGTTGAACATTCAGGGAAGTAAAAAATGAAAAAAATGACATTTTTCATGATGAAACGAACATAACTATTTCTGAACTTCTTGAGAAATAAAGAAAGAATGAAAATAATTAAAATTATTTAGCGATACACTGCTTTTGTTTCGCATAAAAATTTGGGATTGTTCATAGTTTATTAAACTATATCTTCATATGGAAAAAAAATAATAAAGAGAAAAAAAGGCTATTCCATTTTTGGAATTACTTTCATATTGTTACTAAGAATTAAATTTTACTTTCAAATTGAAATGCATTCATGCTTGAGTTTGCTTTACTTTATATTCACATCCTTACATACGTGATTTTGTGATATTTTGTTTAAAAAGTTCAACTGCAATCTATGCGCTGTTTTCCAACCAGGCACAGCAATAAATTCTCACGAATTGAAAAACGAGAAAATTATGCTAGCTGTAACAAAATAAATGAATATGCTGCGATGATCAATTAATCTTTTCGAATGAAAGAAAAAAGTTCAATCAGTTGATAGTAGTAGTTTAAAAAGAAGATTTGTTATTTATGAGTAATGAAGAAAAACATGCAATTAAAGCTAAATAATAATCGGCTTTTTCTTAACTGAAAAAATAATTGTTCATGTCAATGATCTTCGATATATAATAAAGCAATATTGTAAATGAAAGATTTAACAAGAATTTTTCGTCAACAATTCATGGACCGCAGTGTCACAAAGTAAATCATTAACTTATCAGCATTACACGAGAATAGAATTGTCTTTCACTAGAAATAAAATGCATTCATTCACATAGAAATATAAGTAGTTTCCAATCAGCTATTTCTGATTCTGTTAAAAAATAGCACAACATCTTTGTTAGTAAAAAAAAAACTAAAGTAATTACTTTTTGAGAAGCATAAAAATATTTGGCGAATAAAGTCATTCTAAATAACAAAAAAAAATTAAAGTAATTATCTAAGAGCAGTTAAAGCATAGCTGCAAAGCGAGTAAGAAAATATCATTGAAACAAACGTTCGAAATTAAAATAATGAAAGTATATCACAAACTAGAAGAGTATTTCTCTCTCCATTCCTCACAATGATGATGTTTCTCGAGCTATTACATTATTTCAGTTATATCTAAAACAATATTAGAACAAGCTTTTTTCACCAGTTATAGAAGCAAAAAGGAAAAAAAAAGGCATACATCATCAAAGTTGATGTTTAGAAGAAGTCATTTGGAGAATAGAAGAGACAAAAAACAAAAAGAAGAATATACAATGAATAACTTTTAAAAGCAACAGGTCATTAGAATTGTTGCTTTTCTAAAGAAGCAAAAAGAAATCAACTATTCATTAACGTTGATTTTATCTATAGATTCCTAGATCATTAGAGTAGTAGAATTATACACTTAACCTTTTGATCGATCGATATACATTTAAGATTTGCATAGTGCAGTTAATAAATACTTTTCTAGATCAATGATTACTCAAGCTAGTAGTCATGTCCAACTCAAAAATAAATTTATACATTTCATCAGGAATCTGAACCTATACGATGATGATGATACGTTGGCTCTGAATACGCAACTCTTATCTACACGTGTTCTGATTATTTCACTTTCGATTGCTCTCTTACTTATACTATTATTTACTGGTATTATTCCTCAAACACGTTTAATCATTGTTTCTTCACCATCTGTCAATGATTTCGAAAATATCGTCAACCGTTACACAACTACAATTGCGTGCCGCTGTTCTCAAGCATCGATTCTTTATTCACAAATTGTGGCATTGAATGTTCGATTTCATCAAGTATGCTCAAGTGATTTTGTCAGTGAAAAATGGTTTTCTTCATTATTCAATGTCAATACAAGCAATTACTATCCTCTTGATTTTCGTTTGATGGCTTCTGCACAATTTCAGATTTTATCTATTCTCTGTCGAATATCACGTCAAGCTGTAATCGATGCTCTTAAAGAATTTGATGCAACGACAATATTATCACCAAGTGCATTATCACGTGATGTAATCACCACATATATAGGCACGTCTATAGAACAATTCCAGAAAAAAACACTTAACAGTTACCGTTCATACATGCATTTTATATTATCTCTTCTTGCAGAACATCGTTTTATATCTGCATTAAGAATAAATTTCTATACGAGAGGTGTTCTTGGTAGCAATAATTTCGTAACTTTTCCTGCCATTTATCCACAACAAGTCGATACAACTCAATCGTCGTCGATATTAAGTGAAACATGTCAATGTGATCGTACAAATAATTGTACTTATCCTGCTGGCATTTATAATCAATCGCGATCTATCATTCCGAATGAAGTCTTTTCACTTGATGCATCACCTCTATTCATGATACCAGGATTTCAAGTTGGATGTGTACCACAAAATGCATTGTTTCAATCAACATTGGAATGCTTTTACAACCAAACATGTTTAAATATTGTGATTTCATTGACTGGTGCTCTTCGCACTGTCTCACCTCTAAATATATCAAACTCTTTTTCACGATTCAGTCCAACAACAACAATTGCTGTTCTTATTGATAATCTAATGATTGAGTCTTGGGAAAACTCTATTGATTTTGCTACTTATTTTCAAATTTGTGCACCTAAAATCTGTTCATATTCATATGTACAACGCTTTTTTCTCATTTACATGATTACAACCATAGTTAGTATCTTTGGTGGAATGCGCGTGACATTACACATAGTATCTCCATTGTTTGTCAAATTCATTTTATATTTATGTTGTCGACGGGTTTCAGTGCAAGAAACTGAAGAAAGATATGAACCAAAAAGAAGTAAAGTCACTCTTTACGCTAATATATATATATTTCTTCTTCTTCTTGTACTTTTTGTTTTCATAGATTTGCAAGATGGTATATGGAATATCCTTAAGCAAATTCGTCACAAAATTATCACATTGAATTTATTCAAGAAAACTTTAACCAATGTTCCACATGGTGTTTATTCTACACGTGTCTATATCATATTGCTGATGTTTGGTATTTGCATTTTGACCATTTGCTCTGCATCAATAGTTAGTTCACAACAAATCATTGTCAGAGATCCAAGTATCGATCAATTTGAACATCTTCATGACATGTATTCATCGATTCTATCATGTCCATGTCGTAATTCATCAATGCCACGTTCGAAATTCATATCCATTGAAGTAAAAATTCATCCATTTTGTACAAGTAATTTTGTTCGTGGTGATCGTTGGTTACAATATTGGACAATGAAATTTCTCAATGGTAGCATCGATCCTACTCCATCATTTGTTGTCAATGATTTTCGTAAGAATGGATGGAAATTTTTTAATTATGTTAAAATATTATGCGACACAGTCAATATAAGTCTCGCTAACATAGTACATTCGTTTCACGCAAAACATTTTTTCTCTTCTCAACTTATCATTCCACTACAATTTACTGAAACAATTCAAGATTGGAAAGCTTCTTTTCAATACCAGGTAGAATACGATGAAGAAAGAGGCCTTAAAAAAATCGTTTCTTATACTTTTGAGCATCTAAATTGGAATTATTTTTGTCGAACTGTACGCAACTCTTTTCTATCTTACGAAGAATATCTATGATAATATTGATCTTCTACAGATGAAAGGAAAAACATAAGTAGATTCATCTGAAAAAGCAAAACAACTTTATTCTAGTGTCACTGAATGCAAAATATATCATTATATATTTTTTTTTATCTAGATTGACGCTATATATCTATCTAAATTTTATTCAATGGAGGAAAGTATTTGACAGAGTGGATCGATTTCACTCGATTTTGTTGAACCTTCTGTGGTCTCCAGCCAGATCAATAACACATGGATTCTAGAGTATGCGTCAGGTTACGCCGATCCCAATGGTCAGTTGTCATGCAATTGTAAACAAATCTATTTTTGTCTAAGACAATTGTTAATCTATAGTGATACAGAGATTTGTCTTCAAATGAATCTGCGACTTCCAATTGTTTCTGGTCTATATGTTGGCTGTTATCTTGTAGATTTTACTGTCTCCACACTAGAATGTTTTTACGATGAACCTTGTATTCAGATGCTAATTGATCAGCGTCTTTGTGGTAATCAAAATATCTATTTACCAATAGATTTAAGTAATATAACAGCGCTTGATCCAAACACTTTAATCAATTTTCAGCCTCAAGATCCATTACAAAGTTTAATGCGTAGTTCTCTTGTCAATCAATTGATTTATACAGCAAATTATACATTGTACTATGCTGAATGTCAGCCAGAGATATGTACTTATATAATAGATCAGAAATTACATGCTATTGCTCGTATTAACTTAGTTATTGGTCTGATTGGTGGACTAACTATTCTACTTCGTATCTTAGTTCCATCATTCATCAAAATTATCCATTTGTTTTATGGTTTCTGCTATCAGCAAACACGAGGCGAGAGATTTTTCTCATCCATTATTTAATTATATTGAATTATTTCAGATGTTCCTTTACATTGGAGAATGATTTTTATCTATAGTCGAGATAAACTTTATCTCATGAATGTGTACCGAGGAAAAACACCAGTGGAATATCAACATACAGCAACAAGAATCTATATTGTTCTACTTGTTCTATCTTTTGTGATTGTCTCAGTTTTCGTGCGATTTCAGCATCGAACAGTATTCATAAGCGTAGATTCACCAAACGAAACTTACTTTTCATATCTTCACAGTCAATATTCTGATAGTTTATCTTGTCCTTGTACAAATATAGCTATTTCTTATGTAAATTTTTCAACGATCTCATCCACATTACATGAAAGCTACAGCCAGGCGATGACCCAACGAGATTTGCTGATGTCACTGTTACCGACAGACATACCCTGGAAAATATCTAGTTGGAATCTCATCAAATCACAATTTTTTATGCTATATTACCGATATGTTGCCAAAATGAGTAGTTTATACTTCTTAGTAAACACCTTTACTGACGCAAGATTGATATCAGTCGAAGCAATGACCTTACCAACGTTTCAGGTACAGTTTAATGCTTTTACAACGGTAATATTTAGTAATTCGTTGGTCTCATCATTTGATACTTATAAATTCATTTCTGATATGCTTCAAGCAAATCAATTTCATACTCGATATATGACAAGCTGGAAAACAGAATTTTCGAGCTTAGATGAAAAATATATTCTTCGTAACAGTCCAGTTTTGTTGAACAATGCTACTTGCTTTTGTCCAAGTGGGAAATCCAACTGTACAAAGATACCTATATATTATGATTCGATCGGTGATCCACATGTACTTCCAGGTAAACTCTTTAATCAAGCTTTCTCATATGCTTTCATAATTGTACTTTGACTTATTAAGATTTTCAAAAAGGTCTATAATTAAAAGATGATAGTTGAAGAACTAATTGCATATTATTGATATTTCATTTATTTAGGCATTGCTGTTGGATGCTCAATCATGGATGGTCTTTCACAGTCAACATTTGAATGTTTCTATGATGATGTTTGCGTCAATCAACTAAACGAACTGCTTAACACTTCATTTACTACATTTAATCTTAATGCAACACAGTTTCCACCAACAACTCCAATTGAATCGATCCTAGATGAGAATTCCATAGTATCATTCGATTTATCAGCGAATTATTCTTCATATTTTCAAATATGTGCTCCATCAAAATGTCAATATCGTTATATTGAACAAAATGGTGTTGTTTACATATTCACAACACTGCTTGAATTGTATGGTGGATTAACTGCAGGTCTACATTTTTTTGTATGGCATTTATTGTGTCTTTACCGAGTCATGGTCAAGCGTTGTTCATATTTGTTGCAACGCATATATCCTACGTCTTCAACTTGAATGAGCTATCTATGATATGAACAATGCTTCTTATTAAACTCATTAAAAATCATGTCAATTTTCAATGTTGTATGTTTTCTCTTGCTTTTGTCAAGCATAAAATTAAGCAATCAAGATTACTACCGTTGCTTTGCTTTCCTTTGCTTTTATTCAATTTGTTTTTCATGGAAAAATTAATTGTCTTCATTCAATAAGAAAACTTATTTGCATTTTAGCTTGCTATTGTACTCAATATCCATCGACATTACTTAGAATAAGAAATCAGTAGTATTCATCAAACGGGGATAATCATTAGATGATTATACGAACATAATAATTTGCAATAGAATATATTATTTATTGAATAATCAAAGATGATGAACAAGTATAGTATTTTTATTTATATACTCTAGCTCATCATATGATACTCGGCTTAACGGGCCAATATTATATACAAATTTGTCAGTCATCGCATATATTGTTGATTAATTTATTCATTATTAATCTATTTAATTTAACTTGTTATATAACGATGTGAAATGATGTATATAAGAATATTATGATCACAAAGTCTTATATGAAATATCCGAATAAATAACCAGATTTGTTAATAGAACTATCGATTCTCTTTTTAATTCATCGTTACATTGTTGTTCCGTTATTTTATTGCCACCATCAAGTAGAGCCCGTCGGGTCCAAGATTTTCAGACCCGGAACCCGACCCGGATCCGGTTTACCGGATGTTTTGAGACCCGGACCCGGACCCGACTGAACTTTTTCGTACCCGGACCCGACTGAATATTTTTGTACCCGGACCCGGACCCGACTGAATTTTTTCGTATCCGGACCGGACCCGATTAAACTTTTCCGGGCTCTGACACGGCTGGTTAAAACTTATCGGGCCTGAGCCCATATTTCGTTGATTAAACTTTTTCTAACTCTGAATTGGCCAGCATTCTGGACATTTTCAATGAATTATTCCTATCGAAGTCTGATCGTGCGTCATAAATATGAGATCTTTTTTTCAATCATATCGATCCCTACCACAACCTATATGTTAGTTAGGCTGTATTGATCATGATCTATAATCATGTTGTAATCGGCTCTAATTCTTTCCCAATAACTTCAGATGCCGAGATAAAATTTAGATTCATATAGCTTTATCTTATTTCTTTTGTTTAACAGCTATACGATTATTAGGTGTAGTTGCCTTATTGTTACTAGTTCATATTTATAAAAACAAATTAAGGCAGTCACATCATCTTTTAACAAGCACACAATTATACTTGTTTTTATTTTGTTGTTATGCATTCATATTTATATAAAACAAATTAAGACAACATTATATTATTTGTTTTGTTGAACGACTTATCGATTAACAGTAACTCTTGTTTTAATTTTGCCAAATCTTATTTATAAAAAAAAAATTGTAAAACATCATCATATTATTTTGTTTTCTCTAGCAGTTATACGACTTGCATATTATGTCCAACAAGTTTTATTACTATTTTTTCTATCTTTTCTAAGTTAATTTATAATTACTTTTTGAATAAAATGAAAAACGGCTGAAAACAAATTTAAAAAAGTCATTATTTGTATGAAACCAATTTTTGGACCCGGATTCGGACCCGATTATAATAAATTCTCAGAACTGGACCCGGACCCGGACCCGAGCGGGTCCGGGTCCTACCCGACGGGCTCTACCATCAAGTCAATGTTTTTTCTTTGTTGTACGCCATGAATGGAAAGCGAGAATTGATCGAACGAAATTTAGCCACCAATAATTGGTCGCTATGAAATTTGGCCGTTAGGAAGATTCGTTATACAGCTAAGATTTGAACTCTTCGCCTGGATTTACCCTACAAAAGTCGTTTTGGGTGTGGGTATGGGTGGGTGTCGGTGTGGGTGTGGGTGGGTGTGGGTTTGGGTTTGGGTGTGGGTGTGGGTGGGTGTGGGTGTGGGTGTGTGGGTGGGTGTGGGTGTGAGTGTAGGTGTGGGTGTGAGGATGTGGGTGTGGGTGTGGGTGTGGGTATGGGTATGGGTATGGGTGTGGGTGTGGGTGGGTGTAAGTGACTAAGTGATACTACCCACACCCACACCCATACCCACACCCACACCCACACCCACACCCACACCCACACCCAAAATTGAAATACATCACATGGACTTGGGCGGAGAATTTTTGGAAACCGAATTCGCTATTTTTGATCCATGTTTGGCTGGTCTTTTCACCAAATATCATGATATTAGGCTAAACATTTTACCATAGCTGTTCCACAACACCCGCAACATATTCTGAAAATTTCATGCCATTTCGACGTTCTTGAGTGGATATCGATTTTAAGGTGGGGGTGGAGCCTTAAGCAATTTTCAGAAATTTTATACATGTTTTGTATTAGACAAGTAAGGTATGAGTAATTCAAAAATGGAGTGAAATGGTTTTCTTGGATTTTTTGCACTGTTCAATAGAGCCCGCCGAGCACTGCAAAGCTATATATGTGAATAAATTATTAAACAGAGATATTCAATTAAAATTTACTGAAAATTTCTAAAGAATGTACCAAAAACACCTACATGCTTTTTAAAACTTTTATTAGGGAAAAAATGACCATTTTCATACTAAATTTTGTTGTTTTCCATTGGTATCCTTATGTAAGTTGTTTGAAAATATTCATATTCGATGCAGTTTTCCACGTTGTAACGAATGAATATTTTTTGAAATGCCTGAAGGAGTAAAATAATCAAGAAAAAGCTAATCTTTTTTTTTTTTGAAAACTCGACAGTTCCTCTTCCATATCAAAAATAT